CACCCTCTCCCCCGCCCTCTCCCCCGCAAACAACTCCGCCTCCTCCCCTACCATCCTCAACCCGCCACTCGGAGCAGCATCAAAGTCCCCCAACCCATCCACCTCCCCTTCCCCCTCTGGCGCTGCGAAAACCGCAAACTGATCCTCCACCTCCCTCCCCGCATCCAGCAGGGCATTCTCCGCCGAGAGCTGCGCCGCCTCCACCTGCTCGGCCATCTCCACCGCCGAGCCGGGAGGAGGTCGGTTGACCGCCCTTCCGAGCGCTACCGAGTCCGGCCTACTTCGGCGTGATCGCGTCGATCTGCCAGTAGGGGTGGGGAGGTCGTCGATGAAGAGCGTATCGCCTGCTTCGGCTGCTTCCTTGGCTAGAGATGCTAGTTCGTCCAGCTCGTCGATGGGGGTGGTGTCTCGGATAGCGGGGGCGAAGGGCCCGTCGCCGAAGCCGCACAGACGCTGGGATTCTTCGTGCAGGCGGATCCTCTCCCTGCGCTTGGCTTCCGCCTCCGCCTCGCGAGCCTGATACGCATCCCACAGCGCAGCTTTCTCGCGTACCCCTGCCAATTCGCTCACCTCCTTCTGCTCGCGCAGAAACTTGCTTTCCATCTCCATCGCTCTCACTTTGCTCTTCCACCGATCCACAGCGGCCGCCAGCATATCCCGTTGCAACGCCAACCCATCCCGCAGTTGTCCCTGCAGCAGTTGCACCTGTGCTTCGGCTTCCGACGCAGCAGCTTGAGCGGTGGAGGCGCTGGCCGAGGCCCGGTCGTACAGCCCCCTGATAAAGTCGTGTTGGGAACGAGTTTCGGAGAGGTCCTTTTCGAGCGAACTTTTGGCGGTGGAGAGGGTTTCGATCTGAACAGCAGCGGTTTCCACTGAGAGCTGCAGACGCGTGACTTCGGCTCGTGCTTGTTCGAGCTCGTCTCCGGTGTCCTCCCTCGTAGCGTCCACCAGCAAACGTGTCTCCTGCGGCGCGGTCCACTTGCGTCCATCTGCGTCGAACGCAACCCCGTACCTACGGTCGTTCCTCAACACCCTCGCCAGGCTCTCCTCCAGCTCGTACACATCGAACGTAGCCTCCACCGTGTCCAACAGTAAAATGATGGAGACGGCACCACGTTGCGAGTTGGGAGTTTGCGAAAGCTGCTGCGATTGCTGCGTCTGCTGCGTCAGCTTGAGCACGACTTGCGACGTTACCCCCTCAACCGCTCTCGATCTCGACTGCGAGTCTCCCGGGAAGATCAACAGATCCATACACCAGATCTTCTTGGTCCGCAGGAACCCATCCTCCTGCGTCTCGGAATCGTCGTTGTTCTGCGACTGCGACTGCGATTGCGAGTGAGACTGAAACCTGCGTCGAGGACTCGCACGCGGTGTAGCTGCCGTTTTGGGAGAAGAAGCTCTGTTGGAGCGGAAAAGGAAGCGCTCGATCTCGTCCTTGAGGAAATCGGGGATATGGGAGGATTGATGGACAAGGTCGATGATTTCGGGGCGGGGTAAGGTGGACCAGCCGACGGAGGTGGTGGAGGAAGATCCGGTGGAGGAGGACGAGGCGATGGCGGCGGGAGGCTGGGTTGGGTCTTGCGTGACAGTAGGTGGTGGTGGTAGGGCAGGTGTCGAGGAGGGTGCGTCTTGTGGTTGTGAAGGAATGGGTTGGCTGGGGAGCAGCGGATCTGGTTGCGCACCGCCAGCAGCGGCAACAGAGGCGAGCGCAGGGGTGGACTGTATCGGAGAGACAGCAACCGGCAGAGCAGCGTCAGAAGACGCCGGAGAAACACTTGCTTGTTCCCGATGCTGCTGCCGTCCGCGATTGATGCGATGTGAGGGCGAAGATTGAGATGCTACGGATTCGCGATACAGATCTTCCGGATCGATCAACTCGTGCGGATCCATGTCGAGAGGGATCTGACTGAGCACTTGCTGGCTCGAATAGTCGGGGATATTCGGGTTGCTGTTCTCGGCTGTGAGCGGGGGCAGGATCCACGAGCCAATTCGAGGAATGTCCTGAGGCTTGATCATCTGTTGCACCTGGTCTGAAGGCGAGAAGGACTCTACGGGTGACGAGCTGTCTAGTTGCGTACTTGCGGCGGGCTGCACACGATTACGAGAGATCATCGACTCGCCTTGCTCCAATTCCATACCCGTAGTGTCGTCCAGGTACGGCTCGAACACGCGCGTTGAGATGGACGGAAGTGGCCTCAAAGCAGAAGCCGTCTCTGCTATTGCGGGAGCGGACGAGCTGGATTGATCCTCCGCCTGAGTTGAGGGAACGTACTCGGATGCGCTGGAGGATTCTTGGGGCTGCACTTGCGAGTCTGGAAAGTGGATGGAGATCTGCGAGTCGAGCTGACTGGAAGGCGGGTGCTGTGCAGCGTGGAAAGCAGCCATGGCGGAAGAGGAGAGTTCGGGGATGTCGACAAACACGCCGCGAGCTTCCTGGGAAGCGGGCATGGGACGTGCATCTTGGTGAGCATCGTCGGTGTCGTCGACGGATCGTTTGCGTTTGCGCTGGGCATCGTGCGCGGAATCCGACATGGCTCGAGTGTCTATGGGGGGTGAGGGTGGATGGTATGAGGAAGGGAAGGAAACAAGGGTCCAATAACCAATTTGGTGTGAGTTGGGACAGCGACATCCGCTTGTTCTCACCGACTTCCGAGCTTTTTTTTTTGTGAAGCCAACACGGCCCTCCAAATACTCGGTATAGCTTCTTACAAACACCAACGATGCTGAGCACACTTCGGCTGCTGTCACGCAGTCGGCCATTTCGGCTGACGATGTATACGGGCACAGACTGTCAGCTGTGCCAGGTGATGCAGCAGCAAATCACCAAAGCGTCGGAAGAACTGCCGATCCAACTGTCGACGTACAATATTCGGGACGACAGTCTGCCAGACGTGCATGCATGGAGACGCAAGTATCAGTACGATATTCCCGTTCTGCACTTGAACGATAAAGGTGAGTGGGTTTTGGGTTGCTGAAGCTGAGAAGTAGAAGGTGGCAATTGACGACGGTACGACGGGTGATCCGAACAGAGATCTTTCGACATCGCGTGACAGCGCAGCAGCTGATTCAACGGCTGCAGCAAGAATCGGAGGATGCGAATGGCAATTCACAGTGATGCGCATCTAAGCTCGACTGTGATAGATTGTGGGATCTTGTCATTGCGTCGCAGCCAAACATGAAGCAGAAAGACAGACAGAACGGGAGAGCATTGCGCGCAGGGTATACGGAGTATCATCATCAACATCGTCTGTGGGACCTACTGTGCAGCACCGGCAGCAGCAGCGTTCGGATCCTGCAACACCACCAACAGGTACTTGTCGTTGGGTGTGATCATGATCTCGTACTTTTTGGTGCGCACCCGCAGAAAACCAAGCTCGTCCGTGTCGTCGATGGCCCTGATGTCGCTCGCCAGACTCTCGACGCTGCTCTTGACCAACCTGGTGACGCTCTTGAGCATCTCTGCGCGCTGTTTCGCACCCGGTCCACTCGGATCGAACATCTGCCCACCGCTTCGAATAACAAGCCCGTCGTGGCGGCTTAGCACCAGGCATCCCAGCACTCCCTGGTGCGACGAGAGTCGTGTCAGTGTGGCTTCGATCTCGGCTGGTGGTGCTGACGTGGACGATGAACACGGTGGCATGGGTGATTTGCGGTGAGGTGATAGCGGTGATGACGACAGAGGTCGTGGGTTGGGTGTCGTCTCGATAGAGACGTGTGCTTCTGTCTCGGCCTGTCGCGGTGGAGCAGAAAGGGGGAAGGCTACTCAGCACATGTGGACGAACGATCTGGGAGCCGTGACAGTGAACCTACCATCTTTGGCAATGCTTGCTCCTATATCAGCTGTGGCTGTCAGTCAGCAACGGTGGTAACGGCAATGATGGTGGTGATGATGGTGACGACGTAGCGAGGATTGCAGCAGCGAGAGATGATGAAAGCGCCGACTCGCATTATCCGAAATCACCTTCGCTTGTCGCTCTCTTATCGCTCCACATCTGTCACGGCGTATATTCTACACGGTAGACATGTGCATTGTTTCACCCTTCGCTTTTAGTGTTTTTGGCCGTCGAGAAGCGCGCGTCATCGTCGGGCCAATCTGCGGGTCTCGTCACCTGACCATGCTCATTTCTAAAAAGGATTCATATATGCTGTTGAGCGTTCGACGTCGGCAAACCTGTGGGAGAGGCTTAGTGGTTTGGCGTGAGATTGCAACGTATCTTTTCCGGAGAGCGGCGCCCTATGAAAACATCTTGAGGTCGTGGGTTCGATTCCCACCTTCCACTTTCTTTTTTCGCTGGAAGCGGAAGACGGAGCGGAAGACGGACAAGTGGAGGATCGTTGGATTCTTTTTGCCTTGCCGAACCAACACATCAACACCGTGCTCCTACTCCACCACCACCATCCCGTTTGCAAGCAACATCGTTCACCGAGAACAGCGCAACCTAATTGCACATCAAGCGACGAGCGTAAGCACATCCTCCTCTCCCCACAAGAACAACCGTCAAGATGCCGATGATCGAGGTGCTAGCCAACGACAGGTTGGGTCGCAAAGGTGTGTATACTGCCTGGTTAATTCATTGATGTACTATCGTCTTGCAAGGGGACGATGCACTCTCGCAATGAATGACCCGCATCTTGTTCTCTGTTCCATTTGTTGCTGACCCTTTCGTCTTTTATCCTCTCTCTCCGCGTCTCCTCATTTATCAGTGCGAGTAAAGTGTTCACCAGAAGACACCATCGGAGACCTGAAAAAGCTCATCGCTGCACAAACCGGAACACCACCACAGAAGGTACGCAACCTCTTTCCTCCTTCTATCCTCACAATCTCTTCGGGTCCACCGACTGACGCTCTCTCTCTCTCTCTCTCTCTCTCTCTCTCTCTCTGTCTGTCTCGTCGTGGGCCAACGCAGATCATCCTCAAAAAGTGGTACACGGTGTACAAAGATCACATCACCCTAGCAGATTACGAGATCGCCGACGGTTTCAGCTTCGAAATGCACTAGAACAATTTCGCCCCACAACCTTCTTCTCTTCCCCCTCCATTCCGCCGATTCTTGAGTCGGGTTAACGCAAGGAGACCGATACCATCCGTGTATGCGTAAAGGGTTCGCAGAAATCAAAATGAAAGCCACGAATAAAGGAATTATAGCTACAATACGACCGCTCTACTTTATGAATGCGCATTGATAGTGTAGGGGTATCATGAGTCGTTGCCAAACTCATCGTCTGAACAAGACGTGTCTTTACCGATTTCGACTCGACCGGGGTTCGAGTCCCCGTCAATGCACTTTCTTTTTTCTCTTTTGGCCCCACCCCATCGTCCTTATCCTTTTGACTTTCACCATCGCAGACCTTTCATCCTCTTTGGAAAGCAAGCAAGCAAGACACAACTAGAATCTATCAAGCGAATGTATGTATTTCATTATTCAAAAGGAGGGGAAAGATCTGCTGGGGGCGAGGGTTTAGAACTTCAACGCCAACCTATACTCTACGAAACCCATCAAATTCTGCACCGCTTCCTCCACGCCTTCCCTCAAACTAACCTGCTTCCTCCGATCCACCTTCTTGACCAACGCTTTGCACCCGTACACCGTCGCCCTCAACCTCTCTGCGAACTTGCCCTCCCTGAACACCGCATCGTAGTGACTGGTTTCATCGGCATACACGTCGATAATCCCATTGATCGCAGCTAGCATCGACTCCGGCGTCGTGGAACCAGTGGCGCAGGATTCGAGGATGTTGAGCAGAAAGTTTCCGATGTACGCGTTGAGCGTTGGGTGGATCTGCGGAGAACGGGCGATGGTGGACAGGGTGAGGATGGTTTTCGATCGGAGAGGGTCCGAGAGAGAGGTGGTGTAGGAGGTGGTTAGGGCGGAGATGATTTCGGACTCGACGGAGGTCGCGTCGGCTACGGTTTGGGTGGGCGAAAGGGGTAGGGTTCCGGAGAACAGTCGGGCGAGGGAGAACATGCACCCGATGCACGTTTCCACCATGGTCAACCCATCCACACCCTCACCCCCGGAAGCTCCCACATCCGCGGACCGGTCGCCAGTGAAACTCGCAACAGCAGGAACACTAGCACACCCTTTTGCGATCTCGAACACCGTCGTCCAGACGCCCTCGAGCAGGTCGTGCTGAGGTTGCGCTTCGATCCACGTTCGGAACGCCGAGATGCGACGTTGCGTTTTGGGATCAGTGACGGGTTGGGAGGGGGGTAGGGGGGAAAAGGTCGCGAGGCGGAGGAGGAGGTTGTTGAGGACGGAGAGGGAGCGCGAGTGGAGCGCGCGGAGGAGGCTGGATGTTGGTTTGTCGGACTCCAAAGAGGTGGACGTGAGCGAGGGGAACGATGCTTCGAATGGTCGGGATAGGGTGAGGAGTGCGGAGGTGAGGGTGTTGGTGGAGACGATGTGGCAGAGGATGGGAGCGTAGGCTTCGAAAGGAAGGGTTCCGGTGCGTTTGACTGCGTCTGCGAACGTATCCGTAGTCGTCGTCGGGTTCGAGCTGACGCCCATATCATCATCTTCTTTCGCATCGCCATCTGAGTCACCCACCACACCATCATCATCCTCATCACCAAAATCCATCTCTTCGTCTTCATCCTCAGCATCTGGATCCTCCAACCACTCTTCCTCCCCACCATCATCCTCTCCACCAGCAGCAGAGTCGAAACAACCCGCCATCTCGGCAAGAACCTCCAACGCGAGCATCAGCGTCTGCGCCTTCTCCTCCGCTTTTCCCTGCATCTTGGCCCTGATCACCGACTCGTCCGATTCCTTCTGTGCTGCAGAATCGAGCGAAACAACCTCTGCCACATCTCCACGTCCATCCAGGTCGTGCGCGAGCTTGGTCATGTCCACACCGGAGAGCAGCTGGGTGAGCGTGGGTAGGATGACGGACTCTTCGAACTTCTTGAGCGGAGTTCCGCTGGATGAGGATGAGACAAAGATGGTGGAACTCGTCATCGTCGTGTCGGCGGCGTCGGCACGTTTGCGCGATTTGGAACGCCTGGCGGAAGCAGCTTTGGAATCGACGGCGGCGGCAATGTTGCGGAATACGCCGGCGGAGAGGACGCCGAGCATGGTGGATTGGGAGAGGACGTAGCGTTTGAGCTTGTCGATGTTGGCCTGGTCGGTTTGGACGCATGCTTGGAGGAGGGTGATGGCGGTCTGGATGGAGGAGAGGCAGCGGGTGGTTGAGGCTGGCTGCTGGTCGAGAGACTGTGGGACGGGTAGTGACGCGAGGCTGCTGGGTTTCGGACCTTTCTTCTTGCTGGACTTCGAGGCAGCGGCAGGTGTCGGGGATGGCCGTGCGAGCAATCCATCGACAAAGTCTGCTTCGCCGCCGTCGGTCAAAGCGCACAGAGCGTTACCGGAAGCCAGAGCGAGGTCGAGCAGCAGAGAAAGCTCTTCGTTTGTCAATACATTGAGCGTCTCTGCCGCGGAGGAAGATGCACGCGCTCCATCCGATCCTGCGGTGGACAACACGCCAGCGGCTCTTGAACCGAGTGCGACAGCGGAGGAAAGCCATGATGCGAGTGCTTGGCCATTGAGCTCGTCAGCGATATCGTGGGTGGCACCGACGACGTCCTGATCGAGCCACTTCCATGTGACGAGCTTGGCGAAAGCCTTGTCGCCTGACTCGCACAAGCACCATACGACGGTGACGAGGTTCTCTGCCATCTCGAGCAATCCTTTTCGAGTGTTGGAGTCCAGGGCGAGGAAAGGCTCTCCCCTGTGCCCATTGCCAGCAGCGGCGTTGGAGGTGTCCATCGCATCATTTCCTCCCGCATTGCTGCTGGAAGACAACAGCTTCTGCTCATCTTCCGCAGACAAGCCTTGACCAGCGACCTGATCCAATGACTTTCCGAGTGCAGCAGCCAGCTTGGCAGCGTGTCTCTTCTCCTTCTTGTTGAGCTTATCGAGCGGCTTAGCGAGTAGAGCCCGCTTGGCCTCGAGATCCTGCTCCAGTGTCGGAGTGTCGTCGACAAACGACATGGCAGGGTTGCTGGAGGAAGCATCGAAACCAAGCGCGTTGCTCGCCCACCTCATGGCCGAGAGGATGATCGGAATGCCGCCCTTGTTAGCGACCTCATTGCGAACATCGATGCCAGAGTCGACGCAGAGGTTGCGAAGTGCACCGCTCGCTTCGCGCCTCACATCGACTTCGGTGTGTGATTGGAGAGCCAGCAAGAGTCTACCGACGAGATTGTGAGAGAGCAGAAGTTTGCGGTGGTGTTTGACCTCGGATGCCGACTGAGTTGGGCTGACTGTGAGGAGCAGCGATACCGAAGCGAGCGACCATACTTTGTCGGCTAGGTTGATGGATGCGGCTGTTGACGCAGCATTGTCGGGAGCGGGGAGGTTGGCGAGCAGAGGAACGATATCGTTTGCAGGCGCTGATGATTTGCCGGGAGTGCTGCTGCTAGCAACGCTGTTGCTGCTCCCGTTGACGATTTTCGTCGCTTGTTGAAGCGCATCGAGAGTGGCGGAAGAGGCCGACGCAGGAGAGGCATGTGCGCTACTGGATGCCGAAGCTGAGCCGGACTTGGAGAGCGGGTTGTGACGATGAAGTTTGCGCTGGTGACGCTGCGGGTCGAAGCCGGATTTGGGCATCTTGACGGTGCGAAGGTGCTCTCCGATGAGAAGCGGAATCTACGCCGACGGAAGGGGTGAGTGTGATTGACTGTGTGGGAAGAGGACAAGGGTCGGAAGAGCTTCCGAAAGCTTAGAACTGAACCCTTGGGAAGAACCTCTTTCTCACCAGAAAAAAGTGTCTCAGCTCGAGAGATTTTTCAGGAAGAAAAAATTGCAGCACGGCAGAGCAACACGCCGAGAATTCTCGTGTGGAGCTACAAGATTTACTGGAAATTGTTAGGATACATAGAGTTCACATGTTCAGAAAGATGTGGCCCTGTGGCGAACATGCTTCCACTGCTACTATTGCAGGCAAGGATGAGCAGCAGTCGCACCATGGCATCGCAACAAAACACACACAATGCTCTTGTCGGCATCGTACACACACGGACAGCGCTCAGAGAAAGAATGTGGACGAAGAATTGGGATATCTATGATTGGATTACGGAGAGCATTGTGCAGCCTTGGCAAGTCGACGATTCAAGACATGTGAAGGGGAATGTCATGGCGAACGCTTAGGAACGAGTCGTGGGTAGTTGCAAGCATTCCTGCGCCTACTGCTTGTCGGAGACACCCTCGTAGTCGCAGATGGCCTGCACCTTGGCAGCCGAGGCGCTCGAGGTGTCGAACTTGTATCCGAGCCAGTCCTTTGCCAGCTTCCTGGCGAGCTCGAGACCGACGACACGTTGACCCATGCAGAGCACCTGAGCGTCGTTCGAGAGGATGGCACGCTCGACGGAGTACGAATCGTGTGCGGTGACGGCTCGGACGCCGTTGACCTTGTTGGCGGCGATGGCGACGCCGAGACCGGTGCCGCAGATGAGCAGCGCACGGTCGACCTCTCCGCTGGCGACCTTGCGAGCGGCGGTGACGGCGACGTGCGGGTAGGCGGTCTTGTCTGCGTTGGAAGGCACTCCGACGTCGACGACCGACTCTACACGAGGATCAGACTGGAAGTCCTTGATGATGGCGTTCTTGTAGTCGACACCGGCTTCGTCGCAGCCGAAGGCGATCTTCCACTTTTGCTGAGTTGCGGCCATGTTTGCGGATGGATTTGTAGAGTGAGGTCTTCGATGGAAAGGTGAGTGAAGCTGTGGGAGAAGGAGTACTGGTGTGGGCTTGGAAGGAAGGTGCGATGGGAGAAAGGTGTCGGGGATAAGTAGCGATTTCGGGAACGGGGGAAGAAATCTCTCAAGTCACCGACTGATCCGAGCGTTAACGTTGCCACAGCGTCGCTCCACGTTCAAGATTCTTGCTCAGTTGCTGCACCAGGTGTAGCGGCCAGTTGGCCGTGCTGACGCCGAATGTGGGAGAGAAGTGCTTTTTTTGGTGTTTCGGCGTTTCCGATGGGGACTCTCTTTCTACCCGCCCTGTGTGGAGTCAGTTGCGCCGCCGTGTGGGGGGGAAAGAATAGCAGAGCTTAAAAATGTGATGCGCAGGCGCATCTGTATTCAGCCTAATAGAATTTTGTATTCGAAATCTGAACAACGGCGACTTGGAGAGTGCCTTCTTGACGTCCTGCTGCGCTTTCAGAATGCGTCTCTGTGATTTCACTTCGGCGATTTCCCTCGCCGTCTGTGCCCTTTTCACAGTTGTTTGTTCTGCTTGCCAATCGTAGAGTGATTGATGGCTCAAGAAGTTTCCGGATGGAATCACCACATCGGAACAGCCTTCTTTCTGTCTGAGACTCAGTCTGGCCAGAGTGTAGCGAGTCTTGTTCCCCACGTTTTCTTTTGTTAATCTCTCTTTTTGGCTGATTCACAGCTGCTACATCGCTAGACACGCCGCCATCCCTCAACCACCATCATCTCAGATCTCAAATTCAGATCGACAACACACTCACCATCGTCGGAGCAGATAGTCCTTTCAACTCCCGAGAGACCCACAATGTCGGCTGCTACTACCTCGACACGACGACCGCTCGTGGGCGTCTCGTTCAAAATGTACTTTGACATCCCCAAGACGCAAGCGTACCTCGACGAGACCATCTCGCTGTTCTCTTCGGCGCTGCCTTCGCTCACGCAACCAGCCGACGTTTTCGTCATTCCCGATTTCATCACGTTGACGTCGGTCGCATCGCAAATCACTTCGTCCAAGTCGACGCTGCTGCTGGGAGCTCAGGATGTGCACTCGCAAGACTTTGGTGCATTCACCGGCGAAGTTTCACCCAAGGTGCTTTCTCAAGTCGGCGTCAAGTTTGTCGAGATCGGTCATGCCGAACGCAGGAGATACTTTGGAGAGACGGACGAGGATGTGGCCAACAAGGCAGCTGGCATCTCGAAGAACGGCATGGTACCTTTGATCTGCATCGGTGAGGTGTCGAGGCCCAAGAACATCGATCAGCTGTCCATCGACGACGTAGAGATGGTGGTGGAAGAGTGTTGGCGTCAGATTCGACCCGCGTTGGAGGTGATGGACAAGGACGCCGAGGTGGTGTTGGCGTACGAACCGGTGTGGGCGATCGGCAAATCGGAGCCTGCATCGCCAGAGTACGTGGTCAAGATCACAAAGGCGCTCAGGAGGAGGTACAACAAGGAGTATGTCGATTCGGACAAAGGCAGGACGGACGCCTCGATGCGAATCCTGTACGGTGGGAGTGCAGGACCGGGACTGTTTGAGAAGATCAGCGAGGGCGTAGATGGGTTGTTCCTGGGCAGGTTCGCTCATCAGCCCAAGGCGTTCATCGATACGATCAAAGAGGTCGCTGGATCCAAGTAGAGGTGAGCGGCGATTGCAAGTGTGTAGATATAAGGTCTGCTAGTCGTGCTCAATTCTGTAACTCGAAAGTCATTGCAAAATACCCAATGTGCTGCCATGCATACGTTTCTTCAAATCGAGTCGAGTCGTTGAGACGTCTGGCGGCCAGTCAACATTGAGCGAAAAGGCTGGCGAGAACGGTCGATCTGATGGCCGAACTGAAGCCTTGATTTGCGTTGCGCTTTAAGTCACAATCTCGGATGCTTGCCGACGCAAAGACATCTTGGATGCAAAGCCTTTCTGTGTCACGATCTCACCATCTTTCGCAGGCTTCTTGGTGAAATGGGATCGATATTGCTTTTTCTGGGCGGAATGATACTGTTGTCGGGTCTATCAAGGCTCCTTGACCGAAAGCTCACCCTCCTTGAACTGTCTTGCCCACTTTTGTTTGAGCGTACCAAAGCGGGTCGATTTGATCGTCAGCTTCCTATCTCCTTGGTGCTGTTCATCTTTGCTTCAAGAGAAACACTTACGTTCATGGAAGGAATGGGTTTGGTGGGAGCGTTGTGTCTCCATTCTCGATCCGCGCTGTACGTCCACACACCGTACGTTGCGAGGGCGATGCCTACGGCGCACACTGCGGTGTTCGAGACCCAGTTGTTCGGGCGAGTCCACCAGCCGCCTGCTGGCGACCACACCTCCTTGGGGTAAGGGTATCGAGGTCCAGCTCCCTGCAAGTGCAATCGAAGCGTCGAGTGGAAAGAAGGGCAAAGCAGGGCGTCAGTCAGGGAAAATCCATGCAGCAGCAGGGATCGTGTTCGGGTGTCGAGTGTCGTGCGTACCATTGTGATGCGATGCTGTGAGGTTGAATGGGATGGGTTGAAGAGGACAGGACGATAGGAACAGCAAAGAGCTGTGTGGAGAGTGGCTTTGGGGATGTTTCGTTTAGAAAGGCGCGAATTGTGACTGCCTGTGTCGGATCCGAGTCGAATCGGCACCCAAATCGGGAGCAGCCATTTCTGATTGAAAAACAATTTCAGTCTAACATGTTATCATTTATTTTACACCTTTCCGAAAGGTGCGTTGAGGCGTTTCTTCCTGTGGGAACAGCGCTCGGATCATCCGTCAGTCAGTGTCCCTTGGCCGCACCGTCTTTCCCACGCTCTCGCCTTCCCTCCGGTACCATCACACATTCCCTCCTCATATCTCACACTGCTGGCGCCAAAACACGATGACGACCCGGGACTTTGACGTGTCGGGAGACCCGTCCACCGATCCCACCGCTGCCGCAGCCTGGCTCTCCGCACAACGACGACGACCCATCCGAGCCCCACACAAAACCGTCCTCTACGGCGAATTGCTCATCACCTCGGGCTCGCTCTCCTCCCTCACCTCGGAAGACCTCTGGTCGACGCTCGAACAGGTCGCCATCTCCGCCATCGAGGTCTCCCGGTTCGATCTCGCCGAATCGTGCATCTCGCGTCTCACCTCGCGCTTTCCCAACTCGGCACGCGTCGTCTGCCTCCAAGGCATGCTCCTCGAAGGCCAATCCAAATCCGTCCAAGCCATCCAACTCTACGAATCCGCCCTCGATAGCGATCCTACTTCCCTCGTTCTTTCGCGCAGAAGGATCGCTGCGATCAAATCCACCGGTGATACAAAACAAACCTTGCAAGCTCTCAACTCTCACCTGGACATCTTCTACAACGATCCGGAAGCATGGCAGGAACTAGCCGAAGTGTATGCTGGCCAAGGGTTGTACGCTCAAAGCGCATTTGCGTTGGAAGAGCTGCTCTTGCAGGTTCCTCAGAATGGATTTTTCCAGCTGAAGTATGCAGAGACGTTGTATACGGGGGGTGAGTTGGGGAAGGCGTACAAAGCGTACCTTAGGGTATTGGAGATGTGTCAGAGCGATGGAGGTGGGGAGGGAGGGCCTTGGTTGCGCGCCTTGTGGGGGACAAAGATGGTCACGACAGCGTTGATCGCATCACCACCAAGATCAAGCGCGACAGAAGATTCGATCGACCTTGCAAAAGTCAAGCAGATCGACCAACTCGTCACCAACCTTCTTCTCAACAAGGTGTACACTCCGCAGAAAGTGGCCGAGAAGCATCTACGGGATACGGCGAGGACCGTGCTCGCTGCTTGAACCACTAATCGCAATGCAAGTGATAGGGAGTCGAATGAGAAGCAGCATGTTGCCCTGTGCCAGCTTGTGGGTGATAATTGGCTGTGAAGGGGGGGGGG